ATGGAAGTGCTCTTGGAGGCTCCTTAAGAGCGTCTTGAACATCTCTCGAGCCATCTGGGCGCTACTTTGGCGCCTTGGACCAGTAGTTCGGCGGTCCGGGGCCCTCAAGGACCGTCTTGGGGGCCTCTTGGGGCACTCTTGCCGCGTCTTGGAGCTGTTCTGGGCCCTGTAACCACCTGGGGGGGTGCGTATTCGGGAGGCGAACCCCCACCCGTGGGACCTCCCCCAGGGACCCCCCTGGGACCCACCCCCACCGCGGACAGGGGATCAAAGGGAAGGGGTCTTCCCTTCGAATCAGCTACGACGTTGCTCCATGTCGGTTTGGCTGGCGCGCTTAAGGAGGAGGGCCCAGGGAAAGGAGACGGGGGACGACGGAGACGACGATTGACGGAGCCGACGAGGAAACGACAGGGGACGCAGACGACGAGGAGGCGACGGAGACGACACGGCGACGACGACGGCGACCAGCTGAAAATGCGTCTTTCACACGCCGACAGGGCCGGTGGTTTTGTATAGGTGCAGCTGTGCTACCCTGCGCAGGTCCAGGTGTTCACTTCTGGGTCTGCTAACTGGGCGTGTGCCCACAGTTCTACTGCTCGTTCTTGCTGCTCGTCGTCCCGATAGCGTCCACCGCATGATCTTAGACAGGAGCAGGCAAGCAGACAAGTGAACACATATTTCTTTCAGTACTGCACGCGGGAGGGAGAGGGAGAGAGGAATAGAGAGAGAGAGAAAGCAAGAGAGACAGCATAGGAAAGAGGACGGAGAGAGAGAGAGAGAGAGATGCAGAGAGAAGGAAACAGAGATAGAGAGCGAGGGATACATACATATACCTATACGACCACCCTTCGGGTGATAAGGAGTTGTGGGAGGGAGGGGGGAACCAACATCTGACTCAATCGATCTCACAATCGATCTCACTCAACGGGACACCACGGGACACTTGTCGATCTCACTATCGATCTCACTCAACGGTCCACCACGGGACACCGCGGGACACCTCTCGATCTCACTATCGGTCTCGCCATCGAACTCACTATCAATCTCACTCCACGGGACATCATAGGACACCACGGGCCACCACGGGACACCACATCGATCTCATGATCGATCTCACTCAACGGGACATCACGGGACACCTGTCGATCTCATGATCGATCTCACTATCGACCTCATTTTTTGGGATACTTCGGGGCACCACATCGGTCCCTGTATCGATCTCACTATCGATCTCACTATCGATTTCACTCAACGGGTCACCATGGGACACCACGGGACACCTGTCGATCTCACTATCGATCTCATTTTTTGGGACACCACGGGACGCCTCGGGGCCCCACATCGATCTCAGTATCGATCTCACTATCGATCTCACTCAACGGGACACCACGGGACACCGCGGGACACCGCAAGCCACCGACGGACGGACGGACAGGGGAGAATCATTTGTCTTGATTTCGCCCTAGCAACGGCGGACACCGCGGGACATTGCAAGCCACCGCCGGACGGACGGACAGGGGAGAATCATTTGTCTTGATCTCGCCCTAGCAACGGCGGACGCCACGGGACACCGCGGGACACCGCGAGCCACCGCTGGACGAACGGACGGACGGGGGATAATCATCTGTCTTGATTTCGCCCTGGCAACGGCGGACACCACGGGACACCATGGGACACCACGGGACACCGCGGGACACCGCGAGCCACCGCGGGACGGACGGACGGACGGGGAAGAAGCATTTGTTTCGACTTCGCCCTAGCAAAGTCGGGTCCATTCCTCTCGCCCGCCCACGCAGCTTCGCCCCGCCCGCACGCACGACACGAACGAAACGAAACGATTTCCCTGGTTGGGGGTCTCCGTTCCACTGCGAGCTCACCCCCCAACCTCACATAATATATATATATATACATATATATACACACCTATACGACCACCCTTCGGGTGATAAGGAGGTTCGGGGGGGGGAACCAACGTCTCACTCGATCGGTCTCACTATCGATCTCAGTATCGATCTCACTATCGGTCTCGCTCGATCGATCTCACTCGATCGATCTCACAATCGATCTCACTCGATCTATCTCATTCGATCGATCTCACAATTGATCTCACAATCGATCTCACAATCGATCACACAATCGATCTCACATTCGGTCTCAATATCGATCTCACTATCGATATCACAATCGCTCTCACAATCAAGGTCATCATCATCATCATCATCATCATCATCAACAACATCATCAACATCAACATCATCACCAACATCGTCATCATCATGAGGGCACCGTCACCATCATCATCATAAACCGCATCATCAACGTCAGCACCATCATCGGGACAGCATCATCATCACCATCACCATCATCATCTCATCATCAACATCATCATCACCATCATCATCATCCGGACACAGTCATCGTCATCATCATCAGCAGCATCATCAGAATCATCATCAGAATCGGGACACCATCATGGTCACCATCGTTCTCATCATCAACATTATCATCAACATCGTCATCATCCTCGGGACACCATCATCATCATCATGATCATCGCATCATCATCATCGACATCATCATCATCAACAACATCATCATCATTGGGGCACCATCATCATCATGAGCAACATCATCATCAACATCGTCATTATCATTATTATCATCATCGGGACACCATCAGCATCACCATCGTCATCAGCACCATCATCTTCATCATCATCAGCATCATCATCGGGACACCATAATGATCTTCAACATCATCATCATCAACATCATTATCGCCGGGACACCATTTCCATCAACATCATCATCACCAACATCATCGGAATCATCATCATCATCATCATCATCATCATAATCATCATCATCATCGGGACACCATCATCGTCATCATCATCAACATAATCATCATGAGCATCATCATCCTCATCATCGGGACACCATCATCATCATCGACACCATCATCAACATCATCATCATCTTCATCGGGACACCATCATCATCATCATCATCATCATCATCATCATCATCATCATCATCTCATCATCATCATCATCATCATCATCATCATCATCATCATCATCATCATCATCATCATCATCATCATCTCATCATCATCATCCTCGCGGGACACCGCGGGACACCGGCGGGGCACCGCGGGACACCGGGACACCCGGGCGGGACACCGGCGGGACACCGGAAACACGGGACCGCCTCCGGCCGCGCCTCAGCCACGGACACCAGCGGACACCGGCGGGACACCCGGCCCCCGGCCGCCCGGAAGGGAGTCATTTGGTCCGGCCGCGCCTCAGCCACAGGAGACTTTCTCTCGCCCGCCCACGCAGCTTCGCCTCGCCCGCACGGCACGCACGAACACGAAATCGAAATCGATTTCCCGGTAGGGGGGCTCTCCGTTCCTCTTCGATCTCACCCCCCAACCTCCGATACATATATATATATATATATATGTATATATATATACAAGACTGCATTGGCGCTTCGCGCCATGCGCCTTGTTCCGGACGCTTCTCGGAAAAGCAATAAATCATCGCGTGTTCCAGCAGAGGGGGCGTCGAGACCACGAATAATTACGACCACGATCGCGAGGACCACCACCACCACCAGCACCACCACCACTACAACGACCACGACGACGACGACGACGACGACGACGCCGACGACAACGACGACAACGACGATTGGGCTCTCGTCTGAACTGCACATGGGGCGCTCGTTTCTCGAGGGCCTCTGGAAGCTCCCGATGGGACCAGAAGCGCTCAGAAACTTGGCCCTTCCTCGTCGTCGTCGTCGTGCTCCTCCTCCTGCTCCTCCTGCTCCTTCTCTCGGGCAGGCCGCGGGAGCGAGCGCTCGGGGCGTCAGTAAGCGGGCTACGCAATAATGAGGCGGCAGCCCGCGATGACAGGCCGAGACCTCCTGCTCCTCCGTAGGATGACGACGACGACGACGGCGGCGGCGGCGACCACGATTGGTCGCTTCCTGAATGCCTGGAGGGGTCATGGACGCTTGTGGGGCTTCTGAGGTCCTTTCGAACCACCGTCCTGCGAACTACGGCCTCGTGGAGTGTAAGAGAACTGCTGGATGCTATATTGGAACGGTGTTGGCTCGCGTTTGAGCTCCTGGTGGCTCTCCGGACCAGAGGACTCCTTTTGGGGCTGTTTTGGGCCGTCTTGGAGCCCTCTTGGGCCGTCCCGGAACCCTCTGTTGGCCGTTTTGGGAGGACGGGCCGGCCAGGGGCTTTTCGGGGGTCCTCTTGGGACACTCTTGGGGGCCTCCTGTGACTCTCTTGGGGCTCTCTTGGGAGTTCTCGGGGCCCTTTGGGGCCCCTCTTGAGCCGCCTTGGGCTTCTCTTGATCCGTCTTGGATCTCTTTTGGGCCGCCTTGGGCCGCTCATAGAGGTCTCGGAGGCCGTCCTGGGGCGATCTTGACAGTCTCTGGGGATGCCGTGGGCGCTGTGAAAGCGGAAAAAGCTAATATCTTCAAAAACGTACGTTTCCTCAGGGAATGGGGCGATTTTTGGCTCTTGGGGATCCCTTGTCCTCTTGGACCGTGTTGGGGGCCTCGTGGGCCGTCTTGTTAGTGGGTCTTCTTTGAGCGCTGATGGACCGTCTTGGGGCCCGTTTTGGGCCCGTGGGCTCCGATCGGCAAGGGCGTCCAACTGCCCAGAAGGCCGCCGGGACTCCGAAAGGGCGCCCAGGGCATTCGTTGGGTGGAGGGCAGGGGCGTCTGGGGTGTCCTGGGGGGGGGTCCGGTTTGGGGAGGGGGGTCCGGGTAATGATAATATAAGGATAGGAGTATGTGTATGTATATACATATAAAAAGAGAAGTATACAGAGAGAAATAACAAAAATAGAGAGAGAGAGAAAGATAGTCTACAGAGAGAAACATATATCTATAGAGACAGAGAGAAGAAGAAACAAAACAAACAACAAACAATCAACTAAACGCACCTGTTCCTCTGACTGCTGCTGCCCCCTCCCGAGCAGGAGATGCGTTCGCCCGCCACGCCGCCGCGCCGCCCGGCGCTGCTGGAGGTGACGAAGAGCAGCGAGGACCGGGCCAGCCTTCCCACGTCCGGGGTGCGCACGAGGTCGGTGGCATATACAGAGGGATGCTTCGCCTGAGAGGCCTTTTGTTTGTCCCGTGGTTTTGCCCGCACCTCCCCCCTCGTGCTCCTCCCTCTTGCTCCTCCCTCTTGCTCCTCCCTCCTCCCTCCTCCCTCTTGCTCCTCCCCCCTCCTCCCTCCTCCCTCCTCCCTCGTGCTCCTCCCTCTTGCTCCTCCTCCTCCTCCTCCTCCTCCCTCCTCCGTCCTCCTCCCTCCTTCTTGCTCCTCCTCCCTCCTCCGTCCTCCGTCCTCCTCCCTCCTCCCCCCGTCCTCCCCCCCTCTTCGTCCTCCGTCCTCCCTCTTGCTCCTCCCCGTCTCCCTACTCCAAATTCTGATGCTCCGATGGTTCCTCGTCATCCTCCTCGCCTATCTCTTGTCATAGTTTTCATCATCAACATCGGCTTGATCAGCATCTCCACCACAATCACAATCGTCAACACCACCACCATCATACTCACCATCGCCATCATCAGCTCATCATCGGCGGCGTAATCTTCACCAACAGCCTCATCATCACCATCACCCTCATCATCATCATCATCATCAGCAGCATCAGTATCAGCATCATCATCAGCATTATCATCATCATCATCATCATCATCATCATCATCATCATCAGCATCATCATCATCATCATCATCATCGTCGTCAACATCGTCAACATCAGTATCATCATCAGCAGCAGCATTATCATGATCGTTTTCGTTATCATTAATCGTACCTTGCACCCGTCCCTTCCCTCCTCCGCCTCTTTCCCATCCCTGCCTTCTCCTCCCCTCTCCTCATCTTCCTTCCTCCTCATCTTCCGTCATCGCCGTATTCGCCTTCATTCCCCTCATTCCCCTTGTCATCTTCATCCTTCTCATCCTTCTCCTCTCTTCTGGCCCAAATTACCCTCTGCCCCCGAGGCCCCTAGACCCCAGACCCTGCTCGTTCTTCCTCCCTCCTGCTCCTCCTCCCTCCCCCCTCTTGTGCCTCCATACTCCTGATGCTTCTCCTTCCTCCTTGCCTCCCTCCTTCCCTCATGTTTCCATGCAACCTTTTAGGTTTTAGCTGCTCCTCTCCCCCCATCCTGACCCGTCCCACCTCCTGCCACCCCGCCATCCCCGTCCACTATCCTTACCTCCCTCCTCCTGACCACCTCTCTTCCGAACCCCCCTTCCTCTCGAAGAAGAAATAACTTTCTTCATGTAAGCGGTTGGAGTTCCGCGCAGATTTTTTGGATCGGCGCTGGACCCCCTCCCTGGCGCGTGGAGCGCGCCAGGGGCGGCGCTACAGGCGCCGCCAGGGGGGGGGGGGGCAGCGCCGGTCCAATCAATCCGCGCAAAGCTCCAACAGTTTCATGTTTATGCAACGCGTGGTCCCTCAGGAAGTCTGCTGCTCCTCCTCGACCTCCTCCTCCTCCTCCTCCTCGACCTCCTCCTCGACCTCCTCCTCCTCCTCCTCCTCCTCCTCCTCCTCCTCCTCCTCCTCCTCCTCCTCCTCCTCCTCCTCCTCCCCCTCCCCGAGCGCCCCGCTGGAAACACGCGGCCGCCTCCAGCGGGGAGCCTGCTCGCCCAGCCTGGCGATGACGAGCTCCCCGGTGCCCCTGCCGCGCCAGCAGCCCATCAAGGCCGGGTGCCGCCGCTCCTCGGCCCGCGGCTCCTCCCCCTCCGCCGCTCCTCCTCCTCCTCCTCCTCCTCCTCCTCCTCCTCCTCCTCCTCCTCGACCTCCTCCTCCTCCTCCTTCTTCTCCTCCTTCTCCTCCTCCTTCTCCTCCTCCCTCCCCCCTCCTCCCCGCCTCCCCCCCCCCCTTGACTCCTCCTCCTCCTCCACCACCCCCTCCTCCCCCTCCTTCCCCTCCTCCCCCGGCAGAAAATGCGCGACGGCTTCCCAGATGTCGTGATTCTGGAGGTCATGTGGGCCTCGTCTCAGAGATCTTTCGGCGGGCAGCCGCATGGCAGCACAGGGCAGTGGCACGGCGCAGCTTTTCGGGCGAACGGGTCTTCAGAAGCCCCATGCCAATCCATTCCATTCCCCCCCCCGCCCTCCTCCATCCCCCCCTGCTGTCCGACGAGCCGTCAACAAGAAGGCCGTTGCGGCTGCGCCTGCTGGGGCGGCAGCATTCCAGCGTGGACGGAGGTGGGTTAGGTTGCAGCCCTGGCCCCCTGGCAGTAGCCTGGGCGGTGTGGTGGGGGCCTTCGTTTCCCGCTCTCCCGCGCGTCGGGGCTGGGGCCCGGATGCGCACTGGCCGCCCCTGGAGCGCGCTCCCGGAGCAGCGGGGCCCTGAGGCCATCCAGCTGCCTCGGGGCAGTTCCGCCACCATGCCAGCGCAGCCTTCTGGGCGGCAGCACGTCAAAAGAGCCACGGGGGCCTGCTGGGGATTGCTCGGGGAAGAATGCTCGCATTCTGGGCAGGTGTTCCCGCTCTGGGGTCCTTTTTGGGGGCCGTCCTGGGGCCCTCTTGGGCCGTCGTGGGCGCCTCTTGGGAAGTCTTAGAGTCCTCTGGGGGGTCGTCTTGGAGCTCTCTTGGGGGCCTCTTGAGCCGTCGTGGGGGAGTCTCGGGGGCCTCCTGTGCCGTCTTGGAGCGTCGAAAGCTCGAAAAGGCGATAGAACCTTACAACGTGAAAACAGCGAAGGGGAACCAATGGTTGTTGCATCTCGGAGCGGGGGGCCCATTTTGGCCCTGCTGGGGCCTCCTGAGTCGTCTTGGGGTGGAAGGCTCGTCGGTTCGCGTTCACCTTCGAGAGCCCTTCTTGGGGCCGTCGTGGGGCCCTCTTGGGCATTCGGGGACGCCTCCTTGGGCCGTCTTGGGGCAGCCGTGGTGGCCTCTTGGATCGTCTTGGGACGTCGGAAGCTCGAGAAGGCGAGAGCCAGGAAAACATAGAACAACCCAAGGAACATCAACGATGTTTGCCTCTCGAGGACCTCTTGGCAAGGCTCTTGGGGCTCTCTTGAGACGTCTCGACGGCCTCGTGGGTCGTCTTCAAGCCACCTTGGGCCGTCTTGAGGCCAACATGGCAACATGGCCCTTGTTGGAGCGAGACTTGGCCGTCTTGGAGGCATGTGGGCCTGGGGAGATCGAATCTGTTTTGGTCTGCGAGGGATAGCGGCTTCGGGAAAAGAGGGGGCGGTGCGCGCGACGAAATGCGACCGTAGAGGGGGGGGGCCTAGACAATTACAGGAACCTGACCAGACAGACCTAGGTACTCTTCCACGCCTCAACGTGCACAAGGCACAGTAGCAGATGATGGGAAGTGCCTCTGGCGTGGACCGTTTGTATCGGGTTAAACGTTCTCAAATTGAAGGCTCCGCGCTGCACCCTGGAACTCGCTGGCGGATGACGGGAAGCGCCTTCGAGGAACATGAAGCGAGGTGGACATTCTGACAGAATCTGTTACACATCTAAGAAGTATCTGCACAAATACCGTTCGGAATTGCACGGGAAATTGGGTTGGTGGTTCTCTATGTTTAAGCATATCGCCTGACATAGCTTCGCTCACATGGGCTGTTCGCAACATCATCGTGTGCAAAAGCAAGCGTTCTGCTCGGGAGTCGCGATATTGGGATGTCTCCAAATATGCGCGCTTCGCATGAGACATCTTCTACCACCTAGGATGTCGACAGAGCTATGTTACTGCCCCTCATGTTAACAACGACGCTCTCGCTCGAGACATCCTCCGAAAATAAGCACCAGCACGTCAGACCACCATTGCTGTATGTGTTGTCGTCGTTTCGAAACGTGCCCATTTCGCCCGGCACATCCTCGCACACCTGACATGGTGTCAACATCGTCTCCGTATCGTTTGTTCGAAGTGTTGCAAGATGAAACAAGGTCCGAACACAGACCTCATGATGGTTCCCAAAGCGCCTCATAGACTCCCGAAAATGACGATTCCGATACGAGCATCCTCAAGAAAATGAGTATGCGATAGCATAGCTTAGAACATCAATAATTTCTGGCATCGTTTTTGCATCGCCCTAGAAAGGCCCCACGACGACCGACACCTGCCTTCCAAAAATGACGAGTTCGCGAGGGAATTCCTCAAACAGTTGATGTCTGTAACGTCGTATTGGAGTCATGCTGAAGACATCAAGCCTGCCCAAAACAGCCAACTTCAGCGAGGTAACCCTAAGCGCGCCCATCAAGGCGAGTGAAACTTCGACTTCGCCGTTGGGCATCCTAACCACACTACGAGCGTACCAGCCTCGACATCCCGTCGGTGTCCCGTCGGTGGCGTGGCGGTGTCCCGACGGTGGCGCGGGGTGGCCCGTCGGTGGCGCGGCGGTGAGATCGATAGTGAGATCGATTGTCAGATCGATTGTGAGATCTATTGTGAGATCGATCGTGGGATCTGTGGTGGTATCGACAGTGAGAGTTGTTGTGACACCGAATGTACAATCGATGGTGAGGTCGCCCGTGAAACCTAGAGATTCAATTGCCGAACTTGAAGTGGTCAACTCCACTGCTCGCGCAATCATCCCACCCACCCACCCGCAATTTGGTTTGCAAAACCCATGCGGGAACAATTGCGATGAGTGCTGGGTGTTGGCTGGTACATCTTTGCGGCCGCGCGAGCCCGCAACGACTGCGACGACACCGACGACGTCTCCAACGACTTCGACGACGCCGACAACGACGACGACACCGACAACGACGACGACGCCGACGCCGACGCCGACGACGACGACGACGACGATGACAACGACGACGACGGTGACGACGCCGACGACGACGACAACGACGACACCGACGACGACGACGACGACGTCAACGACGCCGACGACGACGGCGACGACGACGGCGGCGACGGCGGCGACGACGACGACGACGTCGACGACGACGAAGACGACGACGCCGACGCCGACGACGACGACGAAGACGACGACGACGTCGCCAACGAAGACGACGACGAGGGAGGAGGGAGGACGACGACGGCGACAACGACGACGACAACGACGAGGGAGGAGGGAGGACGGAGACGACGCGATCGACGAAGAAGGAGGAAGGACGGCGACGCCGTTGACGACAACGACGAGGGAGGAGGGAAGACGACGACGACGACGACAACGACGACGACGACGACGACGGCGAGGAAATAGGAGGGACGACGACGAGACGCCGACGACGCACGACGACGACGACGACGAGGGAGGAGGAGGAAGGACGACCACGGCGACAACGACGACGGAAACGACCACGAAGCCAAAGAGGACGACGACGACGACGACGAACAGGAGGAACGACAGAGGACGTCGTAGGCGACGACGACGACGACGCGGGAGGAGGGAGGACGGCGACGACGACGACGACGACGACGCAAGAGCGTGCGCGCACGCTTTTGTTGAAAACCCGTGTTGCGAAACCTTATGGTTTTTGTATGTTTTTTTGGACACGATTTTAGAATCCTTCCAAAACCGATGGGTGATGAAGGACTTCTGCATACGCGCGCGACGACGCGCGCGTCTGCATTTCGTCCCATTTGGTGCACGGGATTCTCGCGACGGCACACGCGCAAGGGCGTTCGACAGATTTCGACATGCGCGCGCGCGAAGCCCGTTTGGTAGCATGTAGTGAAAATATGGAGAACCGATGGTTTTCTTAAGATTTCGCAAGAACTCGCGCGTCAGTTTTTTTAGCAAATCAGTGCTGCGAAACCCTGTGTTGTTGTATGTGTTTTGGATACTCGATTGCGAAATCCTTCCGGCACCGAGGGTTTTTGCAGGATGTCGGCATGCGCGCGCGACGACGCGCGCGTGCGCAGTTCGTCTCATTTGTTGTAAGGGATTCGTGAAACACCGCATAGTGCTTTTTCACAAGGGAACCTCAGTGGGGGGAATGTGGTAGGCCTGGGACATTGCGATTTTCATATTTAGGACGGACATGTGGTCAGAATCGTATGTGATTTACATAGGACGCGGGGGGAGTGATAACGCCGGGGGGGTAGAGTCTATTCTGTTTTGAGAAAGGAGAATCGACAGCGATATCGATACTGAGAGCGATCGTGAGATCGATTGTGAGGTCGAATGTGAGACCGTCAGTGAATTCTATGGCGAGGTTCACGTTGACCGTCTTGAAGCTGTCCTCTCCAATGCTCGTGCAAACATCCCATCCTCCCACCCGCAACTTGGCCGCAATACTTCTTAAGACAAGACAGTGACAGTAGGTACCACATGACACTTGGCCACGACACCGACGACGACAGCGACAACGACAACGGCGCCGCCGACACCAGCTACGACGACACCGACGACGTCTCCAACGACATCGACGACGACAACGACGACGACGACACCGACGACGACGACGACAACGCCGACGACGACGACGATGACAACGCCGACGCCGACGTCGACGACGACGAAGACGACGACAACGCCGCCGCCGACGTCCACAACGAAGACGACGACGACGATGTCGCCAACGAAGACGAAGACGAGGGAGGAGGAGGAAGGACGACCACGGCGACAACGACGACAACGACGAGGGAGGAGGGAGGACGGAGACGACGCGATCGACGAAGAAGGAAGGACGGCGACGCCGACGACGACAACGAGGGAGGAGGGAAGACGACGACGACGACGACGACGAGGACGACGACGACGACGGCGACGACGACGGCGACGAAATAGGAGGGACGACGACGAGACGCCGACGACGCACGACGACGACGACGACGAGGGAGGAGGAGGAAGGACGACCACGGCGACAACGACGACAGAAACGACCACGACGCCAAAGAGGACGACGACGAGCACGAGGAAAAACAGAGGACGACGTAGGCGACGACGACGACGACGCGGGAGGAGGGAGGACGGCGACGACGACGACGACGACGACGACGCAAGAGCGCGCGCGCACGCTTTTGTGGAAAGCCCGTGTTGCGAAATTTTGTGTTTTTTTTTGGGGGGGACACGATGTTGTAATCTTTCCGAGGCCGATGGGCTTTGAAGGGCTTCGGCATACGCGCGCGACGACGCGCGCGTTTGCACTTCGTGCTTTTTTAGCAAATCAGTGTTGCGAAACGCTGTGTTTTTGTATGTGTGTTGGGTAATCGATTGCGAAATCCTTCCGACACCGAAAGTGTTTGGAGGGTTTCGGCATGCGCGCGCGACGGCGCGCGCGTGTGCACGTCGCCCCATTTGTTGCAAGGGAGTCGTGCAACAAGTGCCCTGTTAGAACAACACATGTCACCGCATAGTGTTTTTTTTACTAGGGAACCTCAGGTGGGGGAACCCGGCCCCCCTGGGACATTGTGATTTCATATTTAGGATGGACATGTGGTCAGAATCATATGTGATTTACATACCCGAAAGGGGGGGCGATTACGCGGGGGGGGGAAGAGTCTATTCTGTTTTTAGAATGGAGAATCGATTGTGAGATCGATAGTGCAACCGATAGCGAGAACTGGCGCTATCGAGTGTGAGTCCGAGTGTGAGATCGATATTGCCATCTATTGGCAGGTCGATGGTGCGATCGATTGAGATATCGATATTCTGGTATGTTGCGAGATCGTTCGTGAAATTGCATGGGAGATCGATAGTGAGTTCGGTTGTCAAATCGATAGCGGGATCGATTGTGTGATCGATCGTGATATCGGTTGTATGATCGATAGTTGGATATGTTGTGGGATCGAGAGTCCGATCGATGTGATATCCAATGAATGAGACGTTGGTTCCCCTTCCCCCCCCGAATCTCCATATCACCCGACGGGTGGCCGCATAGGTATCGCTAGTCTTCTCGCATCCCTGAGTTTCAATGCTCCTACACATCTTCTCCTGGGCCAAGGCATCGGCTTTTTGTTCTGCCGTCTTCCCAGTGGGTGCGCCTCGCAGTCAAGCGTGTCCCTCGCTGAGCGAGCTGGCCACGGCCCATGCCCCCTCCCCTCCCCGGCTGGCCACCAGATCCCCGTGCGGCAGAGGGAGGGACACCAGCAGCAACGGGCGGCAGCAGTGGGAGGAAGAGGTCACGAGGAGGCCATTACTCGTGCTCCTCCTCCTCCTCCTCGTCCTCCTCCCCCTCCTCGTCCTCCTCCTCCTCCTCCTCCTCCTCCTCCTCCTGCCTCCTTTCCCGCTGCCCCTTCCTCCCCTCCCTCTTCCACTTCATCACTCACTGCCCCCTCTTCTCCCCCGCCCCGTTCCACTCCATCCACCCTCGCTCGCCTTCTTTCTCGCCCTCCCCCCTCCTGCCTCACCCGCTTCTTGTCCTCCCGCCATCCTTCTCGCCATCCTCCCCCCTCATGCCCTTCCTCTCCTGCTCTCCCCCCCTCCCATTCTCCATCTCCTCCTTCACGCATCCCGTCCCTTTCCTTCCTCCACCATCCTTCCATCCTTTTCCACCGTCCTCCTCCTCCATCCCTCTTCTTTATAGATTGTTCCTCCCTGTCGCACCTCGAGACGGGTCGGTAGGGCGGGCCGTTGTCTAAAAACATTTCAAGAGTTTCACGGATGGAAGGCGGGCCGTTTTCAAATTGCGATGATCGTTTAAGCGCCGCACGCATCATTTTGAATGTGTTCGCAAGCGCTTCGCTGATGGAGGACGGATCGTTTTCAAAAGGTTGTTATTGCCTAAGCGCCGCACGCAGTCGTTTTAAAAGTGTGCACGAGTTCCACGCAGTGAGGACGATTCCTTTTTTCAATACTTTGTTCTCGCTTAAGCGCCGCGCGCATTCGTCTTAACAGCTTACAGCAGCTTCCGATTTTATTGTAAAAGCCTGACGGCCGGTGCCGCCCAACCTGAAAGACACCGACGACGACCAGGAGGGGGAGGAGGAGAAAAGGGAGGAGGAGGAGGAGGAGAAGGATTAATAGGAGAAGGAGGAGGCGGAGATAAGGAGGAGGAGGAGAAGTAGGAGGAAATGGACTCCCCAATAGGCCCCCCCCTCTGGGGAGGAGGACCGGAGGAGGACAGGCGTGGGAGAGGGGAGGGGAGGCGGAGGAGGACCCCCAGGGACGGATGCGTATCTGATTTCCTTCCCCTCACCCCTGGGATTCCTCCCCACCTGGGGAGGAGGACCCGAGGAGGACCGGCGCGCCGGAGAAGGACCGGCGTGGGAGAGGAGGACCCCCAGAGGCGATGCGAATCTGACCCCCCCCCCGGGACCCCCCCCCGCCGGGGAAGGGACAACGGGAAGAGGCTTCCCTTTGGCGTAACGAGGACCAAGCTGCGAACCCGTTCCTTCCCCGAGCGAGGAAGGGTACTCTCTCTCTTTCTCTTTCTTTCTTTCTCTCTCTCTCTCTCTCTCTCTCTCTCCCCCGACGAAAGAGGAGGATGGGAAGGAGGGGACGAAAGAAGACTTCCCGTCGACGGGGCTGGACAGACCCCACACACGCCGACAGTGTCGGCGGATTTCTGCTGTAGTCCCAGAATTAATGTTCTGGCACGGTTTATGTATGTCAGGACGCGACAGTCACGTTGATTCGCGGTGTTGAAATCCCAGCAATGGTGTCTTGGCACGAAGTCCCAGGAATGGTGCTTTGGCATGGTTGCACATCTTGAGTCGGCGTTCTGCCAACAGAACATGGACCCATGAGGAGG